CAAAGTTACTATTTTAACACCTGATTTTTGAGCCCATTTTGTCTTGCTTGTTGCTGTAAATCCAAAGCAAACTATGTAAAATCTTGGAAATTATTCTGTAAATTCAGAAGTAAATTGGATGCTTTCCCTTTAAGGGTCAGATTTAAAGGAATACCATCCTTTGTTCTAACAAAATAGTCCGGGTTTGTCAATCCAGAAGATTTGTGCATTGCTCAACATAATGGCATTTTATTACCTAGTTTATTTCTGTCTAGCATTCTAAGACTCCTGCTGATGCTTTGACTCAGAGTAGTTTTTGGTTTGGAAACATGAACTCCAGTGTCACAGATGACTTCTTTCTTTTGGTAATTCATATTATTTTTTTAAGTTATTAAATGTTCAAGAAAGAAAGTGTTTGGCCAGACAGAAGTTGTGTTTCAAACTGTGAACATCTAAGCAGCAGTGTGTGAAAATAGTAGCCTTTATTTTTGCTCCCCTCAGTCTCTTGTTAATGCACAGTTAGCTCGTTCCTAGCAGTAGTTTAGTATGTTATAGTTAAGCTTAACTACTACTACATAGTATAACACATCTCTCACCTTCCCCAGTTGTGAATCAGTAAACCATAGCCCTTGTTCATGCAAAAAGACGGATGTTCAAATTCAGAAGTGCCCACAGAAAACCAGAAGACTATCCTGTTCTTGAAGTTAGGGACACTGTATTTACAGAATAATTTATGCAGATTAACTATGGCCATTATCTGAAATTGCATATTGATCCAGTATGTTAAAGTAGCTTATTGCAAGACAAATTCTGCAATATTTTTACAGTTTCTATCAGAACATTTGCACATAGGGAAAGGTGGTATAGGAAAGCTAGATTCAAGAGACATCTTTATGTATGAAATAAACAGGAAATATGAAATAAATTGGAAATGTCCTGCTTTTGCAGCAGCATTATGATGGGATTATCCTTAAATGTGATTTCTTATGCAGTGTAATTTAGTTTTTCCTTTATAAAATAACATATAAGGTTGGGAATTTTGGCTATGCCATTCCACATTCAGTTGTAACATTGTAAACATTCATCTTATGTTTTCCTTTATGTGAAGCTATAAATGTCCATCAAAATATTTGTATCTCTTCAGTAATTTAAAATATTAAAAACAAGGGCCAAATTTCAACATAGCTGTCAAATGGTTTCAGACCTTCACATACATTTTTATACACATACGCCAGTTAGTAGTATCCCTCCATACATACTCATACCATGCAGCGTGTTCCTGACTGAAGCAGTCTGTGAAGAGGATATAGTGTTCCATCTTATGTGAATACTGAACATGAAAGCATACATGCACGAGTAAATCCATGGCATGTACTTGTGGAAAAAATTATTTCTAGAATTTATTTAATTATTTTGATGCCCAGGATGCACTCTGTTTTACACACAGAGGTTTCTTACCCTGCCCACGCAGCACAACAGAGTGCTGTGTTTGGGATTCCTGAGGTGGTTATAGATGATTTATCTCAGGTACTCCACGTATGTAGTTACCCAGAAGAAAAGCTAGCATTGCCGTATGCTTTTTCCAGTAATTGAGTTATTGACAGGATCTTGTTGTTGTGGCACTAATTTGTGCTGCGTAGACATACCTTAGAGGAGAATTACATGTAAATTACTCGTAGTCTGAGGCTGGAGACTTGCATTTCACTCAGAAACTTGCACAGTCCTTACTACAGACAGCTGTATGTGGGCCATTATTTTTTAACCAGATCCTAATGCTGTTCTATAAAATATCTGCTTATATGTTATCCAAATAAAACATTCTGAATTTTAATAAGTAGAATTTCATTGCTGTTTAATCCTCAAAATGCATTGAGCTAATTTGTGAGTGTCCCTGAATTACAAATAATTGAAGCCTGAAAATTAGTTCCTGGACATAGATAGTAATTATTTTCATAACCCTTTTATTTTTACTTCTGTAATATATGGAAAGGGAAAATGACCAATTGTGGTTAGGCCAGAGGTCTTAATGATGGGTTATAGTCCCAGTACTGCCATTCACTCCTGCCAGTGCAGAGTGAATATGGATGAGTCATTTAACGTCTGTCCACAAAGCGTGCTTACCTGCCTAACAGAGCTACTGCAGAGATGAGCTGTAGTTAAGCACTCTTGACTCTTAAGGCACTGAGAAACTTTTAGAAAAGTATTATTGTAGTCATGAATTCCAAGAATGGCCACGTAATCATGGTTGGAGCACTTGGCCAGCCTTCAGTCAGCGCTCCTTGATAGCAGATGCTGAAGCAAGCGTTTTCTGTGCCTTCATGTTCCCCTGCCTTACAAGATACGATATTCTTAAACCAGTTTTATAGACATGCACGTTCCTCCTATACTTAGTCATAATAGCATGGACATATAAACTGAAATATTTGCAACATACTGCTAGCTGAAACCTAGAAGCATCTGCTGCTATTCAGACTATTTGATAACTATTTGACTACTACCATTTCTTTCTGAGTGCCTATTTTGGACATTCTCTTCAAATACGTAGCACTCTTGGTTGACAAAACCCCCCAAACTTTGGATCATAAATCACATTTGAAGAAGAAATGAATAAAATAGAGCGTTTAAGAATGTAGCAGCTGGACTGATAAATAACAAAACAGGATTACTGGGAAATTGCACATACGTGTGCCAAATGCAGAAGAAATCTGAATATTTCTGCTGACTGCAGAATTCTCCAGACTAGAGGGATTTGATAAAAGGACAAAGTTTTATTCTGTCCCCCATTCAAAGTCCAGTCTTTTGGTTTTTATATCACTATTCATATTATTAACATAGAAAGTGTTGATTTTGGTTCAACTGAAGAGCTTCAACAGGGCAAGAGATAATTAGAGGACTGATGTCTAAGAAATTACAAAATAATGGCCTTGATACATTCGGATGAGGCTAAAAGTGCATCATGAAATTCCTTTGGGAAAGTTAAGCCTAGAAAGATACCAAAATTCTAAATTTATTGCAGTCTCGATGTGGAACTCTAAAGGGGGTGTGAAGCAAATCCGCTATTGCAGTTAATAGTGTCATGTAATACTAATCACAATTTTTCCTCTGGATATCTCCTGTTCTTTCAGCTTGTTAGCCTTGATTTATTCCAGTGAACGTTAGTGAAGTGCAACCTTACTCTTCTTATTCTAATTAAAAATGAGCCTACAAACTTGCTATACAGTTCAGAAAGTGCCATTTTTCCATTCCCGCATATGTGCTCTTGCTCACTAGATTTTGCCCCTTTTGCTATGTCATATTTGCAGTACAGAATCATCCTCTTGAGCTTTTCTGCCACATTTCTCCACATCACATTCTCACAACATGTACTCAGCAGAATATCTAGCTTGCAACCAGATACCACAGTTGTGGAAGCTTGATAACTCTTTGTCATGACAGTAGTCCCTGACATTTAAAGAACTTCAGTTTATATTTGCAAGCCAAATTTCATACCTTCATACCTCTTTCGATTAATCAAAGTTAAACCATTGTATATGTGAAGGGGCCTCCTGTGGTTTCTAAGTAAGTAGTATGGCTTTTCTGGCAGAGAGCCACAAGCAATTTAGTAGGCACATATTGTGGGGGTTGAGAGGAAGAGAGACAAGGATAATCCAGAAAGCTTTGAGAAGGTCTGAGTGAAATCAATATTTCTATACGCACTGCAAGAATTTTGTATTCTGTATTTTGGCTGCAGCAAAACTGTTTTGATGTGTTGTCAACAAAGTAATTCTGAATTATAGCACCAACTTGTTTTTTCTCTCACTCAGCCAGTTTTGCACTGGTTTTACTTCAGCTGAAGTATTCCCATTTTGCACCTATGGCAGAGAAGAGTTAGGCACAGAGGATTTAATACACACGGTGTACAATTAGAATCATATATGTCACTAAATCATTTCCACAGGAATAATTCTATATGGTTCCTAGTTGTCTTCAGAAATAATAAAGTTTAATTTTGTAGCCTAAATGTCAAGATGAGGCTTTATCATGTAACTTTTGCCTGAGAGCTATACAGCTGTAAATAGATACTAACATAAAAGGTCTGTCTCCAGCAGAGCTGATCTCTCTTTCCATTTCTGACAGGGGTCACATAGCCAATGTAAATTACCACCATAAACTAAATTCCACCTCTCCTGTAGAACAAAGTGCTTGATCTGCCTGTCTAGAAGCCAGGAGCTATGTAGAGAACTGTAATATTTCAACAATTCAGCATGAGTAGCAACCTGTTCTTAATAATGAAACACTGGCAACATTTAATTTAATTTTGTCTCAACATATTAAAATCCATCCTTTCTTTAGGGGATTTAAGAACTGTCTGAAGGGAACCTGAAGACAAGGAGAATAATTCAAGTAGAAGCACTATCTTCCTCTGTAATTCATGCAAAATTCAGGTTCAACATGCACTTTTTGACATCAGTAGGGAACGAGTTACTCTTAGAAAAGTATAGCCTAGACATCTCAAGAAGAACGTGAATTCTTCTCCATTTTATCTGCCATTTTGATTGATAATTAGAAAATCAAATTCAAATATACAGTATTAGCCATGACAAAAGAACTAGTGGATTTTTAGTAGAAATGGAATTACAGTTGAAAAAAATTAAACTATTATTACCAAGTTTTTGGAGGTATTTACATGGATGTTTTATAACTAAGCTACAAAATGCTGTTAAAAATGACATCTAGGCTGGAAACTCTAATTAGATTCTTAGATAGATACAATATCTTGCATTCAGTCTCAAAGGTCTCAGAAACTGCAGAATTCAGCCCATAAAAAAGCTATCCAACAGACATATCACAGAAAATTTGGCCCCAGTTCAGTATGGGACTGCCTAGAATATTTTACACACTCCTTGTTTTATATTAAAGATGAATTCAATGTAAATGTTTGGAATTCTTCTTACAAACTTGTTGAAAAGGGACAGTATTTTAGCATGACTCCCTTGTACAAACCTGGTGTTTAGCAGATTACGTATGTTATTCTGTTATAGGTACACTACAGTGATAGACAAAATGGCAAAGAGTGTATGACCTGTTTGACACTGTCTCCTGTGCAGATGACTTTCCAAGGTATCGGAAGCTCCATTGAAGCCAGCCATGACCAGGTATAATACCTTCACCCCACACTCTTATAATTTTATTAATATCTAGTAAGGCCAGAATGTCAGCTTTAGTAAATTTTAAATTTCAACACACTTTGTGCTTTGCATATGGCATGTTCTTGTCACTGGGATTTGCCTATCTTGCCATAGTGAAGTCCTGATTAGATCTAAAGTGTGACCCGAAAAGGAGACAAAACTATATTGCCTTTACATATTTTTAAGACATATTAGGAAAGCTTGAACAGCTTGCTTTGGTTTTAGTCAGATGTAAGGTTTCTGCAAAGGTTTTGTTTGATTTTATGTATGTATCAGGTCTTGTCTATCCTATTTTTACTAGAAGATTATGGGTAGCTGGAAAAGCAGAGAGATGAAGCCATCATCTCTAGCCATCATCTGTCACAAGAAACTGGCATTTGAGAGGGGAGAGGGATTTTTAATCAGACTGTGTAAAACTCCCATTTTGTTTGGCTGTTCTTAAAATGTTTAATTCAAGCTTCTGGCAAAAATCCAGGAGAAGAAAAAATCTCAATGGTAATCACCCATCACCCTGCTGCGTCAAATGAGAACTGAGGGGGACTTCCATTCTAGTCTTCTTGTCCTCCAACACTCTTATGGATAAAGCAAGACAAGACTTTGATACTCTAAGAGCTTTAAAAGCAAAAATGAAACAAGAAATCTTTAAACCAAACCTTGCACTTTTCAGATCTTCAGTAGGTTGGAAAAAGTACCATTTTTGTTTGTCTTTGCAGGCCTCTTTCAGTTGTACTGTGTTCACATTTATCATACATTTTATCAGACTCTTATGTAAGATTCTCTAAGGAAAAAGGAAAAGTCACCTTAAGAATTATCAGAATTAGTTACTTTTGGGGGAAAGTTTCAGACACTCATAGCCATATTTTTGATTGAAGGGTTTTTTTTATTGGAAGTTTCTAAGATAGTTGTTAACATAAACTAAACCCATTAGTTATTTACATGGTAACATGAGGATACTTCCTGTCCTTAAGTATTTGGTGTTTTACAGTAATGGAGAGCTGTGGTAAGTCAGACCATACTTCGACATACAATTCTCATTTCATCCAGCAACTTGTTTATGCTGTTGTAAAGTCACTCCGTTTTTCTTTCAGTAAAAGACCGCCTTTTAAAAGTTAGCTATAAGTCAAATACAATATTTAGACATTTCAATGAATTTAAGGTGGTCCCTGTCAATTTGGTAACAACTACATTCTGGGCTACCAGCCAGGTTGGCCTTTGTCTTAGCATTTATTTAGGCTTGAGTATGATATGTAAACAGAAAAAAGACTTTGTAAGCAAAAAGCACATTTAAGCCATCTGAATAATTATATATTTAAGACATCTATATGAAAAAGTGTTATTGAGCCTGCAAAGTCAAGCACCTAGAAAATAGGGAATTCCAGATTATGAGCAGCATTAGTTTCATCCCAGGTGCACCCATTCAGTGCTCTAGACAGGACATTTTCCTGGGAGGGTAAAAAACCCCATAAAATCACATCAATAAAGATTGTATCATAGTATGTGCACAAATAGGTAGAATTAAGTTTGCTTGGGCTATTACGTAGCTAGAATTTCCTAATCTTTCCTCATTTGAAGTTTAAAAACCATTCATCACTGGTTTTAGTTATGTGATTTTCCACAGGGTTTTTAAAAAGCAAAGAAAAATGTTTTGTCGTTGCATGATGGAGTGGTTGTTGCATTACTGAACTCACATCACTTGTGCAAAGATTTCATCTGAGCTGAGAGCAAAAGAAAATAATCATCTAAAAGCCAAGTGGCAACCAGTGAGTCACAAAATAGACCCACATACTGGACAGGATTCACAGTTTTCTGCTCATTCCCTTCTTAAATATCAAAGGAATTCCACTTTCTGAGGAACAGGGGTGCTACTGACTGTGTTTGATAAGGGGGGTGGCAGAACTGGATCGAAGCATTTGCCATCACCTGACTAAATAGAGAAAAATGAATCATTAGTAAACAAACAGAAAGCACATCGAGTGTTTGTCAGGCACTGGAATTAATTAATGACAAAATTAGACCTTTTAATGGACTAACTAAAAAGAAAAAATTTAAAAATTTCCCTTTTCTTTCTTGTTTCTGTGTGATTGGTATGATTTTGCTTGTTTTTCTATAATTCCCCTCACAGCAGGTTTATCTGATATGGTTATTCTTCTTATAAAAAACAGGAGACAGAATTTGTTAAGCTGAAGTATCCACATTTGAAAGTTTCAAATGAAATAAGTGCAAGATAGCCATATGCTAGAAAACTTAAATTCTAGAAGGGCTTCTTTAGCTAATGTTATCTGTTACTTTTAAATCATCTCTTTTGTATTGTATGGTAATTAGGATGGATTAGTCACCTGAAAGCCTGTGATTTCAATGGAGACATGTTGGTTTGTGTCAGCTATGAGCCCTGGCACAGTTTGACTTCAGGATCTATCCACTTCTGTGTTTATGAAGCTAATTTTTCTCATGTTCATTCTAAAATATAGATTTTATAAGTTCTAGGGTTTTTTAATGGAAAACTGTCTGAATGAGACTGAATAGTTTATTTCTGGGAAAGTCGTGGGATCTGTTTATGTCTATTAAAAAAAAAAAAAAAAGCTGTATAACAAATTTGTCACTGTATTGTGGCAGAAGAAACATATCTGACCAAATACCTTGATCAAAAAAAGAAAGAAATGGAAAAAAAAAAAACAAAACCAAAAAAAACCAACACAACAAAACCCAACAGGTTCCCAGTGGCATCTCCAGCACTATAGCCTACCTTTTAGATTGGAATTATCTTTTGTAATATATCTCTCTACTCACATCCAGTGGGAGATTTGTTACCCAGCAGATACCAGTGTGGTTACAATCCTTCATAAGTATATTATCTTGCTTTTTCAAATATGACAAGATTTGACCCAGCAGTTTTTCAAGTCACCTGCTCTTTTCCTATACCCTGTAGGGAGTTTTCATTCTTTAGATTGGTTTAGCTTGTGATTTTAAGGAGTTTAAATTTTTCCCCACATACCTCATTTGAGCAATTTCAGATTAAAATAAACATTTCATACTGGTACACTAATTAGTGTGTATTTGAAATGTCTGATTGACGGGGCATATCTCATTTGGACATGAAGCAGTATTGTGGAAGCAACTGCGGGTCTTTCGGGGGTTTTTTAGCAAACAGTAAAAAAGGGAAACATTCCTAAAGTACCACTGCAGTCTAGCCTGCCACGTGTTTTGTTGGGTCTTGCATTCAGGTATGCCAACCTCTTTAGTAGAAATGTAATGAAGTAGAAAATTTAATGCTATCAGAGCAAACTATTGAAGGAAATAGAGATTTCTGTTTTCTCTGAAGAATTCTATTCAATACCATAAAGTTGTTAGAGATGTACTTAATTCAACACAAATGATTGGACTCCCTATAATGGTAGCTAGGTTAAATTTGATGGCCTGTGTCATACAAGATGACCCTTGACATAGTTTCAATCTAAGATGTGACACTTTATCTTCTGCTGTGTCTTGAACAAGCCAGTGTCAAACTCAGCTTCCTTGTTTGAATGTATATTTTGGAAAGTTGCAATGTTACGATCTTCGGCAACTGTGTAATAATTACTCTTTTTCTGAATGCTTTAGCTCTAAGTGACTTTAGAGCTCTGCTTCAGGAATATCATACCCCTGTGCTTGTCACAGCTGTGAAGAAAACCTTGGGAAAAACATCTTGGATGCGTTCTTAAGGCTTGCTGAGCAGCAGGCAAATTGAAAATATGAACATTCATGTTTTAATAAAATTATTTTTAAGTCAGTCCTGGTGATGAGAAAGAACAGATTCGACCCATTTTGAGATTTTTGAGTGCTTGCCATGGAGTAGTCTGCCTATACAACTGAATTTTTGACCCCCAGTAACTTGATGTTCTTTGAGGGGTGACCAATTCTCCATTCACATTTCAGGAGATAGATCAAAGACCAGACTCATCACTGGAATACTTTTTGGTGATTTTGAAGGTATTAACATATGTGTGGTTTTTGGAGCTGGCAATAGTCTTTATTTGTTTATTACTGACTTCTGCTGTTTACTTCACCCAGTAGTCCCAATGAGATGTGCTGTTAAAGTGATGATAATGAATCTTTTATGCTTATTTTTAGTCCATGCTTTCTTAATCCCATCTATCATATTTGTGTTGTATATTATACCATGTTTTTAGAACTCTCCTACACTTTAAAATGCATAAAATACAATACTTATATTTTCTAGGACAGATAACAATTGTGTAATGTTATAGGTAATCTACCACTACTATCACTTTTATTTTCAAATATAAAAATAGCTGGAAAGAGAATAAGCAGGGGCAGAAATTGTAGAAGTGGAAGAGCTACTGATGAGATAGACTTGATAGGAGTCCAACAGGGAGGGGGTGTACTGAAAGATGACATGCTCAGCAGTTTCAGAAATCACTGATGGAAAGCTTGACAGGCAGCAGTGACAAGCAAACTGAAATGTGATATGTAGCAAACCATCATGGTTGGCCCGCATTTCTGAGCAGGGTTAACAGATTGTAGTGATGCCCAGAGGTGAGCAGCTCCTGATGTCACTGGAATACAGCAAAGTTGGAAGTAGTTCTCTAGGGACAAAAGACCTTGGAAGGGGGTGACACTCTAGGGAAGGTGCTTGGAGCATTGAAGTTTCATTGAGGTTTCAGAACTATACCTTGTAAGAGCAAATACATAATACATATGAAGGTCCACATGTCTTTGTTATGTTCTGAGAATTGTTTGTAGAGCATGCTCGGGATGCGGCATCTAGAGAATTTATGCCAGCCAGAGTCACCGAGTGACTTCTCTGTAAGAAAAGCAAACCCCAAAAAAACCTAATGGTGTAGTCAGTGAGTAGGCAGAGGGTGAGAATTTGTCCAATGCTGGAACCAAAAAAGATGAAAGAGATTGGGATTTTTTGTTAAGATACCTTTCCACATCAGAAAAAAAAAAAAAAAAAAAAAAAAAAAAAA